TCCAAACTGTTCATTTTAAACCCCAATAGTGCCTAACTGTGTAATACATGTTCATACATTTTTTTTTACTTACCCAGCTTTAAAAACAGTGTTTTCTGCCAATAAAGAAATCCAGAGAATGGCAAAGGAAAACTTTGTCATGTTCAATCTGTTGGTAAGTCTGATATTTTTGCTTTAATTCCAATTTCTGTCATGTAGTCATTTATACAAAACGTAGATAAAACATTTGAGGACAAAACACTTGAGAATAGGAGGTACCTAAGGTAACTAATGTAACGATGTGTTGTACAGGACCCTATGCAGACGGTATAATCCAGAAGTAAGTGGAAATGGACACAGGGAGGAGACAATGAGGAGCTGGGCAGGATGACGAACAGGGGGGCATGACGACTGTGCACTGGTGCTTGGGGTGGGGGGGGGGTGTGGCCATGGCAAACAAGTCCAGAGGAGTCCAGGGGGTAATCCAGGGTGAAGTCCAAAAGTCCAGAACCGGGTGATCCATCCAAGACAAAAACTAGACTAAGGTTTAAAAACCGGAACTGGATCTAGTGCAGGAACGGGGAATAAAAACGGGTGAACGAGGCCTGGCGCTCCAAGCCCTGGACCCAGATGGTCAGGATGCAGTGGTGAAGCCTATGCCGTGGGGTCACTCCTGGACCCGCTGGTAGGCGGGCGTCCTGGCGTCCATCTTCCAATGCTGAGCCCAGAAGAGTGAGAGTGTCTGGCTTAAAATAGGAGGGGAGGGATAGGAGGCAGGTGCACATAATCAACTAAAATGTGAAAGATCCGGAGCGCCCTTAAGAGGATAGATTACGATTGTGACACCTAAGGTAGGAGGTACATAAAACAGGTATTCCCCAACATTTTTGGAGTGCTAATAAATACCCAGCCAGCAGCTCAGGAAGTACTTTAAGAGCTGACATACAAAACGAATATATTGCTTGCAGGTGCCTGCCATTTTAAAATGTTACCAGACAGTTTTCCTAAGGTGGTAGCTGAAAAAGAAAAACAACCATTTTCACAATTTTTAAAACCTCACCTCTTAGTCCAATGGCTTTGCTGGGATAAAGATGCTGTCTTACTGATTTTTGATGAGCTTATTGCTGAGTATTTCTTGTGCTTAGAAACTGACAAGGTTCTGGGATATTCTTAATTCTCTTCTCTGAAAGCCTTTAAAGTCTGAATTACTAGGCAAAGGCTTTCAGTTCCTCTGATCTAAGACAGAGGCAGCAGCAGCATTAACACCCTGGTGCCTGATCTTGTTTGATTTGAGAATCTAAGCAAGATTGTGCCTCTTCAGTACTGGGACCTCCATGGAAAACCATGTTGCACTTGGTGGTGTAGTAGTGTAGCAAGTGATCTCCATGAACCTTAATGTACAAATAAATACTCCAGTATGAGCAGGAGCAGAACAGGAGCTGCACTTAAGTAGCAGATGAAGTGGGTTCCCTTCTACATTCAGTCTTTTGGGAGTAGTAAAGAGCTATATACAGTAAATGCAAATAGGCAGATTTTGTAGCTATTTTTTGTTAATTCTCCTAGCTTTTTTTGCCCACATTTGATGAACACATTTGAAAGATGGAAATAAAGTAAATGTACCCTTATAAAAGAAGGCAATGTACTTTTTATGCTTTCATTTGATCAAATTGAGAGGGGTTGGATCCAGTCATATCGCATGTCAAAACAAAAAGCTTAAACGCTTCCCTGTGTGCTTGACTCACACTATGAGCAGCAACCTGCTGTCAAGCTTACATTTTTGACGTTCTGTTGCTCTAAAAAATGACATTTTCTTGTCTTCCTCCATTCACATCACCAGCATGAGACAGAAGACCCCAATCTTGCTCCTGACGGCTACTACGTGCCACGAATTATCTTTATCGGTAATGTTGTTTGGCCTCTTCTGGTGCATAGTTTTCACCACATCCTATACTGCGCAGCTATTATGCATAAGTGAATAGAGGATCAGATCTGAAAGAACACGTGATTATTCTGCTGCTCACTGCATTGTTGTGCATTTAATAAATAAACTTTGATTGACTGATTGGCAAATAAGGCACACATGTTTTTATATTAGTATGAAACACAACAAAAAGATCGATGCAGCACTGTCTATATGTAATTAGCATGCTGTATGAACACAAGACACTACCAGACTCTTACAACAGGATGTGACAACGCTGTTCAATTAATGTGCATCTCTCCAATTTTTTAGATCCATCTTTGACAGTTCGAACAGAAATCACTGGAAAAAGTAAGAAGTACAAGTATGCCTACTCACCTGAGGATATTCAAACCTGTAAGTACCATTTCCACCTTTAGAGGTTGTGATTATTCTCCAGGAATCTCCACCTGAGAAAACATAAAAAGAGAATTTGCGTGGCAATTCAAATTACCCTCATTCTGCGGGGTCAGTGTAAGAGAGTAGCTCAAAAGTAAGAGCTTTAGACTGCATACAGACTCAGAGAAAGTTGGGAAAGAGCTAGTGTTTTCAAACGGAGCGTACTGATGGCTTTGACCTCCAGGGAGGAAATGCTATGGGAACACATGGAGTGTGAAAAAGAAAAATGAGAGTTACAAATTTATGACAATGAAATTAATAGACTTGGTATGTCTTTTGAATCATGTCCCAAAGAATTGTGTGATTAGGTAGCTGAAAACCAAACAGGACTCAAGTGGATGCCAACATACAGGAACGTCAGGTCTTAACCAAACAGAACGCCTGCACAAAGCAAAAAGTATATGAACAAAGTAGAAAATGTTGAATTTGGTTTTGATTGTGCTTTTGATTTTAAGACAATCCTCCAGCAAACCCTTCACACTATAGTTTTGAAAAGTTAAAACAAGATCATAATGGCTTATGTATCAAAACGTAGCATAACAGGGAATTGTAGAATAGAGAACATTTAATTGAAGAAGTTCTTAATTTTTTATGATGAACTTGAAGAGAATTGGGAAAATTGTTCAATCTGTTGTGAATCTGTTCAATACAAAGCCCACACTATCTAGAAATGGTACTAGAATTGCTTACTGCGATGGCATGTTAAGGTATGTGAAAAGCTATAAGGTATCTTGAGTCTTTGACCCATACTAGTTGGAGGCCTCCTTTCTGAACTCATTTAATGGCAGAAATACAGACAAGGACCGATAACATTAGCCTGAAATATCTATATAAATATCTGAAAATCTTTACCAAGGATCACGAAAAACCTCCACATGCGCAAATACATCATCAGCACAAAGTGATAAACAGTGTTGAAGACGATTAATGGTGTAACAATGCGGGGCTGGGTCAGAAGTGGTAAAAGTGGACACCTCGTCTGAGGGGGCGTAGGCACCAGTGTGAGGTTAGCGAGAACTGAAAAAAAACGAAAAAAATGGAAAAATGGGCCATTATGCAAAGTGGTACAATCTGCTTGTACAATATGGAGAAGAAGAGGCACATTACGGGAGGCAAGACGCCCTTTGACAATGTGGTCTAATCGTGGTGAACCTGCTTCTTCATATAGACCTGCAATCAGCACACAAACAGGTACCCGAGCACATCAACAAGATGACCTAATAGCTTGCACAAAGTGTAGCCATCTCAATCTTCAGCAAACGAGAACTTCCGTCTGAAAAGAGCCTTCCACAAGAAGAATTGACTGATGCCAAAAATGCAAAAATTCCCGAGAGGGATGCCTTTTATGTCAGGTGTTTCACACATGCTCAGGCCCGGAACCCCTTCCCTTTGCTCAAATAGACAGTCAGGTCAAGTATTCATCTGTAGTGTATAATTTTCTATAGAAAGTTTATTTAGTTTCCATGTCTCTAAAACTGGAAACCTATGTAACATTTGCTTGAGTGGAACATCACAAAACAGAATATTTACAGTTGTTTGTTGGTTTTACACTGACATCTCTCAATTTTTCAGTGGACGTTTAATTGCCATGACATTTACCAGCAAGGATAAAGTGGATTTTCGATAAAGTGGATGTACACTAATTTTCAATCTTTTTTTTTACAGTATATGACAACATGAAGAGGGTGAGACTGTTACTCAACACTGAGCTCTAACAAGATGTCCCTGCAATCTTGGATATTCAAACATTCAGTGCTCTTTCTGAATAATTTAAAGGTGACAGTGGGCTGCAGGCCACAAATGTTTCATTTTGGACCATTTCCCATTCTTATTTATTTTTATTCACTTTCATTTAGATCCTTCATCAGGAATTCTCAGACATTACATCATCTTTCTGCTTAAAAGTGTTTACATATCGAAGAACCCTAAATTAATCTCTTAAACTACCGGCTCACAACACGTGCTTCTGGGACTACCTGGGGTAGTCTAACCCAAAGGTCTCAAGAAACAAAAGAAAAGCTTTTAGTCCAGTGATAGTAGTGATACTAATATACTGTATTCAGTCTGGTATAGTGCTATCCATAATTGGTGGTGTTGCCCTGCCCTGTAGATCTAGTATTTATAATCAGTAGCAGCATTACTTTCAATTTAATTTTATGTTGAAGTTTCAGGGGGCATATTTTTCTAAAGGGGTCCCCCACTCTTTAATGGAGAACACCTTTTTTTACAACAAGTGTATTTTCCTGCTGTATGTTGGCCTCAACAGCTGTATTGGTCTCATGAATTTAATTGTCTGTTCTTATTTTTTTTGTGCTAACTTACATTTATATCCCACCAACTGTAATTACTGAATATGATGTATATAGGAAACATGCATTTTGAAAAAGAAACAAGAAAATCCATATTATAAATTATTGCCATAAAGTATTTCATCAGGGTGTGGATAGTACATTAATTTCAACTGCATAAAAGTAAAAAAAAAATCTGTATGGTGTGATTAAATAAAAAGGATCTTCTATTGCAATTTTAGTATTCATTACAATATGGAACAAGAGTAAATGACCAAAAATGGGATGAAATGGGTTGAAATAAAATCTACAGAGTAAATACAAATATTTGTACAATTCTGTTTGATGTTAGACTTTTCGTTGATGTACTGCCAGGGTGTTGCGAATTCCTTTTTTTTGTTGTGATGGAATCTACATTCCTGAATGCAAAGTTTGTGCTGAATGTCTCTGGGAGTTCTCCATAGGAGAAAGCCTCTTGACTCAAAACCAGGCCATGATCTCAACTAAAATGGTCACTATTGAGTCAAACAAGTAACCAGGTGTGTAGTGTGAATATCAGCATTTCCTGGACTACATAAGAGAGGTGAATCAAACTGTAAAGAAATGGAGGAGCAGAAAGAAATGTAAGTGTATAAATAAATAAGCAAAGTAGAGGTTCTGTTTGATAAGCTGTCTAGTTTCCATAAGGTAAAGACCTTTATATAAAACATACAAATTACCCAATGAAGACAACCCTAGATGTCTGGATGGAGATAGGAATTATTATTCTTAACGAATATCTAAGATTGTATTTTGAGATTCATCAATATTTATACATTCAATCATTAGTACTAGTTATCTAAAGGATTTTTAAAAGTCCGCAGAAATGAGAAGGACACTTTGCCCAGCTAGATCTGTATCTTCATAATGTTCCTTGTTTTGACCAAAAGAAAACATTTTTAATCACTTTTTTAATGGGAATATATATTTTTTCCTTGCACGGCAGAACAAATTTGCATTAAAACGTTTCATTTATCTTTTGATCTGAAATAGAAAATTCATTAGTATACAGCAAATATGACATATTTCACTTCACTGTCTAAACACTTCTCACTCTGTCTGGTTTCCCTTCATTAGACAGTTTCCAGAGCGGCGATTTATTTTCTATAACCAGAATTGCACACAACATCGTAAATGAAGCTTTACTTATGGATTCTAAACAATCAACACCCCTGGATTTAAATATTTGTATTTGTCCTGGCAAAAGAGCAGTGGGAGCTTGGTGTATGTGTTTGGATTATTTTCATTTGTGCAATCTCTCAAATAAAAGCCAGGAGAACCAAATGGAAACCACATAAACTATATCTACTAACCTTTCCAGGCCACACCACTCCAGGCAGGGATCTTCAGCTCCGTGCCTTGATAGAGTCTTTTTCCCTGGAATTTTAGCCCTGGATAAAACGTCTGCACATCATGTAAGGAAAAATAAAATTGTTTTGGGGCACTGATCTTAAATGCCAATACAAGGCCCTCGGAACATTAATACCTATAGTGAACAGTCTAAGATAAGATCACTTTATTGGCCATATACCATTTCTTGCTTTAGGATCTTGTCTTTTCGCATACCCCAGCTTGCTCTCCATGAGACTCACAGGCACACACACAGGGAGAGAGAAGCTTGGGGTCAGAGCGCAAGCCATTTATACAGTGACCCTGGAGCAGTTGGGGTTAAGGACCTTGCTGAGGGGCCCAATGGAGTAGGATTCCTCTGCTGGCCATGGGATACAAACCAGCAACCTTCCAGCCACAGGCGCAGATCCTTAGCCACAGAGCCACCGCTCTGCCCAATCAGGTGAGTGCTTACCTCTGGAGCTGTGCTCAGCACAGCAGCCAAACATTTTCATGATGAACGTGAAATGAATCTGCCAAACTACAGTGAAACTCATCTGGAGAATGAATTTTTATGGGTTTGAAAGGCTCAGGATATTTCTGTTGGTAGAATCCTTCTGTATGTAACAGGGTATTCTTTTTGAGGAAATCTTGGTAAATCTGTTGCCTTCTGACATGGAATTACAGTTTAAGAAAACACTACACAAAAACAGAAAAAAAGAGGTGTTATTTGTAAATGCTATAATCTGTTATTTCCTGTGTTCCAAGATTCTTCTGTTACCCAGTCTCATTTTGGGTACATTAACATCAGAATACTACTGATAAGAGATTTAACTATACCAAACATGAATGCATGAGTATGTGGTGTTAGTCTCAAAGAATACATTTGAAGTATTAATAATTATACCATTTATTAGCAAATGTGGAGTTCACAACACTAAAAAGTCAATTTCACCAGAGAAGCTAACTACAAAATTAACAGGCAGAACTACAAGGTTTCAAAAAGAAAAAAAAATCTGAAAATGCTAAAGTGATTCCTTAAAATTTATAAGATATTTCCCTTTGATCAAAAGGAAACAAAAAAATATCTCAGAAAGTGCCAGACTTCAGGGTAATAGAGCAAGAATACTTTACTTAACTGTTTGTCTGCTGTATACTGTAAAAGCAAATGTATTTGAAAGAATAGTTTTCAGTATTTGTATTATTTACTATTATCTCATTTGTTTTAGTGAGCAAAATGTATTTCTTACAATCTAAATCTTATATAAGTTATGGCAACTACAGTCCCACAGTCAGACATACTGGTAGGTTAATAGCCCCACACAAGTGAGCCATTACATCAGATCGTTGGGTTTGTGACATCATCAGTGTGGCGGCCATGATGTCAGAGCCTCAAAAGATGAAAAAAACTTCACCCTTTTCTTTACTTTATGGACACTGTTATTTTTGGTGACTATGAATAACTGCAAGGACCTCTTATTAGCATCAAATTCCCCTGAAGGTGAGAATTTCTTTGTTATTCCTAGACTACAGTTTGAATATTGTGATTCTTTGTGCTCTAGATCAATGAGGTTAACTCCTCTATGAATGGAGTTCAAGTCTCCTCATCCTACAGCCAGGGGGCTGCCCTTCAGGCAAGACGATTAAGCCAAAACTGAAATTATACTTAAATACTCAATACACATTCACTAATCGTTCTATTCGAAAGTAGTCAGTACACCAGTAAACTGAACTCAGTTCTCCAAAGCACATGAAGTTTATCACTTCAATCAGTGCACTATGGACCAACAAGTTCTGCTGGATTACATACTGTAGATCATATTAAAAGAAAGAGAAAACATAATATATATTCTACATTATATATATAATATATTCAGTCACACAGATTTTGTGCTCTAGGGCTTGCGGTCTTGATAGTAGTAACTTATTAGGTTGACAAAGAAACAAATAAGTAAAAGCAAAAGGAAGGATAGAAAAGTGGAAAAGTCATTGCACAAGCATTCAGACTCTTGATGTGGGTGTGCTCTGGCACATCTGAATTAACGTAGGTGCACAAAAACAGCTAGTTGAGTAACCTTTGTCTGTGTGCAATAATAGTGGTTCAGATTATTTCAGAATAAATACACCTCTCTGTAAGGAAGTGAATATTCATACAAAGACTCAGGACCATGGAGCTTTCAAAACAAGTCAGGGATAAAGTTGTAGAAAGGCACAGACCCTTAGAAGGGTACAAAAACATTTCAAAGCCTTTTAATTTCTCTTTGAGCGTGGTGAAGTTGATCATCGAAGGAGCACAACGCAGACACTGTGTAGATTTGTCTGTCTCTTAAAACCGAGCAGCCAGGCAGGGGGAAAACTGGTTAGACATGCAACTATGTGGCCAATGATTTTGAAATGAAATGGGAGAAAATGAGTCAACAATATTCCAGATGGCCTCTATGTTTGTCACGCCCTCTACATCTAGAGGGCGCTCCCTACTGTTCCTAGTTTTCCTGTGCTTTTCTTGTCCTTCCGGTGTGCCTTTGTGTGGGGCTATATATTTCCGGGTCACCCTTTGCTCCTGGCTCAGCATTGAGGGTTTGGATGTCTTGAGACCCGCCTAGTACCAGTACCTCATCCGTGGCCTGAGGGCATAGGTTTCTACATCATCCGACCCCCTGAGCCTGGGTTAACCCAGCAGCCATATCACTCTGCAACTCACAACTGGCAACCCACTGAAGCTAAGCAGGTGTGAGCCTGGTCAGTACCTGGATGGGAGACCTCCTGGGAAAAACTAAGGTGCTGCTGGAAGAGGTGTTAGTGGGGCCAGCAGGGGGTGCTCACTCTGCGGTCCGTGTGGGTCCTAATGCCCCAGTATAGTGACGGGGACACTATACTGTAAACAGGTGCTGTCCTTCGGATGAGATGTACGACCAAGGTCCTGACTCTCTGTGGTCATTAACAATCCCAGGGCATTTCTCGAAAAGAGTACTGGTGTAACCCTGGTGTCCTGGCCAAATTTCCCATTGGCCCTTACCAATCATGACCTCCTAATAATCCTCATCTAGAAATTGGCTTCATTACTCTGCTCTCCTCCCCACTGATAGCTGATGTGTGGTGAGCGTTCTGGCGCACTATGGCTGTCGTCGCATCATCCAGGTGGGGCTTCACATTGGTGGTGGTGGAGGGGAGTCCCCATTACCTGTAAAGTGCTTTGAGTGGAGGGTCCAGAAAAGCGCTATATACTGTAAGTGTAAGGGATTATAAATTATTAATTATTATGGTTTTCAGAAGGAACCTCAGCCGGAACCTCCACAGTGTTGGGGAGAAATGGGATGGTCCATGAGGGAATAAGAAAGGAGGACAAAGGAGGGAAGAGGAAGAGAAAGAGAAGGTGCACCAGGGGCAACAATGCGAGAAGGCGAGGCAAAACAGGGAAAATCAACCCAACCAAGAGGGAGTCGGGCAGCCAGGGGAAAGAGGCGGAGGAAAGAAGCCAACGAAGGAAAGCGAGATGGGGAGGGAGAGGCAAGCCAGAGAAGAGGTCCGTGAGTGAGAGCAGCGGAGTCAGGAGGAGTAGAGAGAGGGCGGCAGGGAAACCAAAAGCCAGGAGAAACAAACGGAGGAGATTTGACCCAATTTCTCACTCCGAATCGGAGACCTTACTGGAAACTGAGGAAGCTCCGGCAAGTGGAGGGCAGGACCCATCATCTCCTCCTGTTAAAAGGAAAAGGAAAATGAGAGGAGCAGCAGCCCGTCGGTCAAGATCGACCTCAAAACACCCACTGGACACTGACTCACTGGACACTGACCCACTGGAGACCTCTGGTTGGTGTGAGGGACCAGAGATAGAGGGGGAGCAGACTACGGAGCTAAAGTCGCACTCTAAAGGTCTGAGATTTTCTGTATTTTCTTTTTTTTTTAACAAGGTGGTTAGAGAAGCAAAGGCTAGCGATCAGCTAGCTAGGCGGGAAGAAAATAAATCCAAGATTAAGTTCCAGGAATCAATCAATCAACCAACCAACCAATCAATCAATTAATCAATCAGAAATATTGGGCCTTGATGATGTAATTGTTATAGACTGAGTGCAACACATAATGTTACTTGTTCTCAGAAATGCCTGATCCAGGCTTGGGGAGTTTTAAGCTATATATCATCTTATTTCAGGCAAAAACTCTCACAAGTTTGCTTCCTTATGATTCAATTGCTCTTCATATTTCAGAAGCATATTAGAAGATTTTAGTGCACAGGAAAAAAAAAAAACATTGTAAAATATAAAAAAGTGATGTGTCTAAAGAAGCACGATTTTACTGGCTTACCAAAATAATTACGTGGAACCTGTTGTTTCCAAAGAACAATGAAACATGGTGGACAATGTCGTATGAAAGTGAGATTTAATCAAAGTGAGCAGACAGAGTGAGGGACTACCACTATTTGTTTAACTAAGGTCCTATTTTTCAAACAGGAACAGGTCTCACATTAGACAGAAAGACATAGTTATTTATAGTTTTATGTCAGTTCTATTCCCTTAGCCTTATATTTCAAAAAGAGGATATTTTGGAAATTTAGATTTACATTTGTTAGGAGAAGCTAAAACCTTCAAACCATTTAAAATTTTGTTCAGTAACTACTGTACATTTTTCTTAAGAATGTTCATGGGACATGAGACATTTTCGTTTATACTCTGAGCAAACGTTTCTGTTTTAGAGGTGTTTCAAGAGCTTTACGAGAAAGGGGACTTGATAGGATACGGGGGATATGGTTGTGTCTATGCTGGAAACCGGAAAACTGATGGGATACCGGTAAGGATCCTCATTCTTCTCACGGTTCTGTTTAAAAAGTTTGTATTCAAGATTTTACTGTCGATTTAATCCATAAATGTGACAAAATGTGGCAAAATCTTGTTCTTGCTGCACCACTGCTTGGCTTGAACTCAAGAAACCTACAGCTCCCTGACTTCTACAGTTCTCTTCCTTATGCTGCTCCCTCCTGCCTCCTCTTTCCTGTGTCTGCCTTGAGTCCCCGCCACCCTTTCTGTATCTGATATGTTTCTATGACTGTTAAAATATACACCAATATACATTGGCAAATCGTGGCCTCCTAATAATCCCCATCTATGAATTGGCTTCATCACTATGCTCTCCTCCCCACTGAGGTTCTGGTGCACTATGGCTGCTGTTGCATCATCCAGGTGGATGCTGCACATTGGTGGTGGTGGAGGGGAGTCCCCATTACCTGTAAAGCGCTTTAAGTGGAGTGTCCAGAAAAAGCGCTATATAAGTGTAAACAATTATTATTATTATCATCATCCTTCTGGACTCACTGCTTCTCTTTGCTACCTTTCTATTGGTGCATCCAGCTACCATCCTATTGGCTGCCTGCTTTTCCATTTGTTTTTCCTATAAAATATAGTAACTGCAAATTGCAGATGTTGCCAAAATACCATACTCTTTTATTGGTATAGTATATATAATCTCACAGTAGCTATAACGTCTTTTGGGTTATTTTCCTTTTATTTAAGTAATCCCATATTACTATAAGCTGACTAGGATAATGAATGTTCTGATTTAAAATTGTCATCATGAAGAATCAGGAAACAAAAAACTAAACTTACTGTTATTATATACCTGTTATTAAAGTGTTTTATGAAGTAAGCTAGCTTAATGTTGTTTTTTTGGTGCTTGTTTTTTTTCTTTCATAATGCCATTATGCCTTTGTCCAGGTAGCAGTTAAATGTGTCTATCGGAAAACAATAAAGAAGTGGGCAAATTTGGTGAGTATGTTTTGTGGTGTTCTTATAATATGTGGAGATGGTATGAAGCCAATGAAATGAGGACTTAATGAAAATGTATTGTATAAATGTAATGCATAATGAAAAGATACTGCTGGACTTTCACATTTCCGTTCCATTCTAGTTTCACAAATGATAGCTTAATTAATCCATAGAACATCTACAGTATGCATGAGACAAGAAAGAACAGCACACAATTAAATATAGCTTTAATAACCTTACGTTTACAATTATTTCCAGATCCAGAATCGAAAATGCACACTGTTTAGCAAATCCTACTGTAGTCGCATAGTAATGAAACAAACTATAAGAACAGAACTTAGTTTAAAAAATAATAAAATATCTATGTTTTCCAATAGTTTATACGAAAAGAAAGTGCCTTCTATTTTTAATTCTTTATGATTAAATAAATCACAGAAAATGAGAGCACGAGTAAAGCATATGCTAAGAAAATGACAACACTTTGAAGAATACAATTGGCTAGTTCAGCCCAAGATACACTATAAGAGGTCTCCAGATGGTTGTTTCGAAGTGCCCAGTTTGTAGATCATTCTCCTACGTAGCCATATTACCCTGCAGCTCACAATTGGCAACCTACTGAAGCTCCTGGAAAAGACTAAGGTTGCTGCTGGAAGATGTGTGAGTGGGGTCAACAGGGGGTGCTCACCCTGCAGGTTGTGTGGGTCCTAATGCCCCAGTGTAGTGACGGGGACACTATACTGTATAAAGGCGCCCTCCATGGGATGTGAGGTAAAACCCAGGTCCTGACTCTCTGTGGTCATAAAAAATCCCAGGGCATTTCTCGAAATGACTAGGGCCTGGCCAAATTTCTCATTGGCCCTTACCAATCATGGCCTCCTAATAATCCCCATCTATGAACTGGCTTCATAAATCTGTTCTCCTCCCCACTGATAGCTGGTCTGTAGTGAGTGTACTGGTGCACTGTGGCTGCTGTCGCATCATCCAGGTGGGGGCCTCACATTAGTGGTGGTGGAGGAGAGTCCCCATTACGTGTAAAGCCCTTTGAGTGGAGTGTCCAGAAAAGTGCTATATACATAAGAGGTGACTATAGATTGGTTTAGGGCTTTACTTCATTTACCAGGCCTTTGTATAACTACAGAGAGGTCATCAGACCAGCTTCAGGTCAATATTTCTGTCGCTATAGAAAGTTAATAACGATTGGTCCAGTACAAAGCATGGCGCTGACCGTCATTGGTCCATTACTAAGCAAAACATTGCTATATCTGCATTCACTTTTTTCCTTTGCATTGCTCACTTCGGTTAGAGTTCCTGTTTAAATCAACAGGCTTAATGATTTTTATGTGCGTGTTTGTTTAGTGTTTTTTTTTATGTGAATGGCCCTTTTTAATTAGCGTTTCTTTGCTGGCAATGAAGGGTGGCGTATGTTATGGATTACTTGTGTGATGGCTCCTGGCCTGACGGGGCCTGCTGTCTTGTTCTCCACCTCAGCAGCAGGGCACCGTCCCCCTGGAGATTGTGCTCCATCAGCAGGTGTGTGCCCCCCCTGCCTGCGCCAGCGTGGTGATGCTGCTCGACTGGTTCAGGATGCCCGACCGCTTCCTGCTGGTCCTGGAGCGGCCCGAGCCCTGCCAGGACCTCTTCAACTTCCTGCAGGACGTGGGCGGTTTCCTGGAGGAGCCGCTGGCCCGGGACTTCCTGCGACAGGCCGTGGAGGCCCTGCTGCACTGCCTTTCCCGGGGGGTGGTCCATCGGGACCTCAAGCCCGAAAACCTCCTGGTGGAGGCCAGAACCCAGCGCCTGAAGCTCATCGACTTCGGCTCGGCAAGCCCACTGCAGGACGGGCTGTATTCTGACCTGGCTGGTGAGGGAGGGGGCAGGGAACACAAGAGCATCCTGGCAGCTCTATTGGGGAGTTTTGTATGGCAGGACTATCGGACACACGCGCGCTGTTTCTGTGACAGTCATTTCTAGACAGACATCTCTAAGATGTATGTTATATAACTTGTTGCTGCTGTCGCTGTTCTGTGTTTTTGTTTTTGGTGTTTCCTTGATGTCTTTGTATCGGAGCATACAGGCAAATAAGCATTTAATTGCACTTGTGCATATAACAATAAACTCCACTCTACTTTACTCTTCCAAAGCACATGATTATACTCACATACTATCCAGATTTGAAAACACTGTTTCACTCAGTTGATTGAGTTGATTGCCATTAGTTGATTGAGTTGATTGCTTTAGGATTGCCATTAGCGTAACATGTTGCAACACCAATAATACAGTATAACAAACCAAGCTTCATTATTCTGCTTTCAAAATTCCAGCACTGTGATCCTTTAGTACTGAGGCGTTTTTTTTCATCAGTATGAATTTTCAGTAACAAAAATCACTAGTAGCTGAGGAGCACAACCAAATATTGCTTATGCGAAAACATTTAGCCATGCCCCTCGGACCACACCTATACCATCTACCTCATTATGATTTCTTATTTATTGCACATCTCCAGTCATTGTTTACACGTCTGTATTGTTTTCATTCAAACTGTTTACCTGTGTACTTGTACATTGTCACCTGTTTGTTTGTATATTGTCTTGATACACTGTCTGCACTTCGTGTTTTTACACTTGTTTTAACAATCGAGAGACTTTCTGTAAGTAAGAATTCCATTGTACCAGTACATGTACCGGTCACATATGGCAATAAAGATCAAGTTCAACTTCAAACTTACGAAAAAATTGGTCACTCTTTATGACCTTTTTTGGAATCAAAGTGTCTTTTTCACTGAATGAAAACTGCATTCAGTTCAAGGCAATTCAGTTTTTCTTGGCCTTTTCCTCTCTAGGTACTCTGCATTACTTTCCACCTGAAACAATCCTACGTGGAGAGTATCAGGCAATTCCTGCCACAGTCTGGTCAGTGGGAATTCTGCTCTTTCACATGGTATGGGGCGATGTGCCTTTCTCCGATGACAATGAAATTGTAAAAGGGACACTTCACTTTCCCAGAGATATCTCCAGAGGTGAGATGAGATACATTGTAAACATCGATGGATTTTCCGTCCAACTCTGCACATTTAAATTGCGTTTATTACATATTTACTATATCTCCTTCAAATGTAAGAGAGAAAAACATATTATAATAAAAAACAAACAAGAAGACATTCCTCCCTGAAATTCCACACAGTTCTTATTGAATGTTCTGTCACCTGGTTCATTCAGTAACATAGCATAGTCCACACTTCTCTGTAGACCTGAGTGTCCCCTTCATTTTCAACCTGACAGAATGCCGTAACCTGATTCGCCGCTGCTTGACTTCCTGCCCTAGCAACCGGCCTACGATGGAGGACATCCTGCTCCATCCCTGGATGAAGCAAATTGGAAAGTAGCATTGGACAAGTCATACTCACGGCTTCCCTACACAGAATACTGTTTTGTTGGAGAATAAATAAAAAAAAAACATGGTTTTAAGACTCATTTCATCTGGCTGAGTGTACTAGACCATTATTATTATATTTAGTATTACATAATAAGTATATTGTGAAGGAAATTGGAGACTGGGATTAATTTAAAGCAGAGAAGTGCAGAGCCTTACATGGAGACATCAAAAACAAACTACAGATTATAGTGGGAAACATAAGGTTTGAAGAAGCTACTGTAATAACAGCCCAACTGCCACTAGGTGCTATGAAAGGAACTGTCATCTGTAATTAGATAGACTGGGTGATAATTAATTAATGAGATTATTGATGGTGGTTAAGTCCACATTCTCACAGGGATGTAATTAATAGGAATGTTGTGGCTAATGCCAGCAGCCATATCACCCTGCAGCTCTCAACTGGCTATCTGCTAAAGCTCACCAGGTGTGAGCCTGGTCAGTACCTGGATGGGAGACCTCATGGGAAGCTATGGTTACTGCTGGAAGTGGTGTAAGTGAGACCAGCGGGGGGCGCTCACCCTGCGGTCTGTATGGGTCCTAATGCCCTGGTATAGTGGCGGGGACACTATACTGTAGTGGGCTGAGATGTTAAACCAAGGTCCTAACTCTCAGTGGTCATTAAAGATCCCAGGACATTTCTCGATAAGAGTAGGGAGTTATCCCGGTGTCCAGGCCAAATTTCCCCCCTCAGCCTTTACCGTGGCCTCCAGATTGTCCCCATGTATGATTAGCTTGCACTTGCCCTTGTCCAAGGTGTACCTTAACTTGCGCTCATAGCTTGCCGGGTAGGCTCCGGCCTCCCGCAACTCTGTATTTTATAAAGTAGTTTGGTACATGACATGATATATTTTGGCTATAAAGGACTTTAAGGATGGTAGTTGCTGGTTGGGTGTTTGATAACTTACAGCAAGAGAGGCTGCTGAAGGGATGAGTTATAAAAATTGCTGCTATAAAGCCTCCCCCAGTGACCATTATTGTGAGTTTTTATATGCATTATGGGGTCTGTCACAGAGTCAGCTCATTTACATCTTCTATACAACAGGAAGCAATAAAAAGCAAAGAGAATGTAGTTCACTTATATAGTTAAGTGTAATTTGTATTAAAGAATTCTGTAAAATTATTTAAAGAATTCTGTTAAATTAGGTGCTCTAATTTTGTCCCACAGTCCAAAAACATGCAGTTAGGTTAACTGGCTTCTAGGAAAATTGGCCCAGGTGAGAGTACAGTATATGTTCATGTCTGTGTATGCCCTCTAATTAACTTGAGTCCTATCCAGGGTGTTTCCTGCCTTGAGCCCATTGCTCTCTAGGATAAGCTCCAGCTCCCTGTGACCCTGAATTAGATAAAGTGGTTAGAAACTGGATGCATGGATTCTATTAGAAGAACATTGTACAGTAATAGAGCTCATTTCGAATGTTTACAATTGTAGTCCTAATATGATAAAAACACTTTGGTTCAGTCCAGAAAAGAGCAACCAGATGTATTTACTTATTTTAAGAAATACGGACTTAAGTGGAAAGTGCTTTTAAAACAATTTAAAGAGGTGACACCTCTGTACACAGAAGGTAATAATAATAATAATAATAATAATAATAATAATAATAATAATAATTGCTTACACTTATATAGTGCTTTTCTGGACACTCCACTCAAAGCGCTTTACAGGTAATGGGGACTCCCCTCCACTACCACCAATGTGCAGCCCCCACCTGGATGATGCTACGGCAGCCATAGTGTGCCAGAATGCTCACCACACATCAGCTATCAGTGGGGAGGAGAGCAGAGTAAAGTAGTTGGAGTCTGTAATGATCTGTCCAACCACATTGTTGAAGGTGATACCTGACTTCTTTCAAAAAAATTGAATGAGCTCTTTTGATGACATCCTAGAAACCTACCGTGACAGATGGTTTGGAGGGCCTCCTTTTTTCCACAACAATTCTTAGGTTATGATGAAAAACGATTGTAATGGCAACTAATGCTAAAACTGAACATGGCCTCTGAAGGCATAAGGACATTACGAGATTCATATCTGAGACATTTTTGCCATTCTTCATGGACCAAGAAAAAAGATCAGCAACCTCAATTTCAAACAAAAATCAAATTACAGCTGTTATTCAACTCTTTCCACTAGGGGGAGCAATTTAACCTCAGACGTTCAATTTAACCTTTGAAGACGTTTAGGCAGGAACAGACTGGGACAATCTGCTGCTTAAAAACTGACATTTGTACATCAAGCAAGTTAAGACCAATATAAACCAATGAAATATAATACTGTATATTTCATTAAATATAAACCTGTTTTGATCTATCAAAATGGTACTGTATGATATGTTAAAGTTTGTATGGAAACAGCATTCTACCACTATAGATATATATTCTACCACTATAGATATTCTATATTCTACCACTATAGATATTGTTACAAATGGGGAGTTACGAAACTGGTGAAAATCAGGATTTGACTGAGCGGTTTAGTCAATCAGTGAAATAATTATACATAACCCCTAACATGTACATGATTTCTAACAATATATCCGAGTGTCTGGTAGAACTAGAGGCACGTGAATTCTTTATTCTCTGGCACAGCTTTGTTGAGAGGAGTAATAATCCAGGCACACGTGGCTAAAGCAAATATTTATAACAGTAAACTACACAAAACATACAACACACAAAGTTACATTAGATACAGTATTTACAGACACAGCGTTTCAGAGGCCTAACATTCTGGTCACCCAGAAAACCCCAGACTCCTAATAAGCACTAAAGTCTTAATGCCTACAGAGGCCACACAAATACAAAGCAACCTGCAGTTAAATTTCTCTCTCTGCACCCTGGATGGCACAAAATAAATGGGAGCCTATATCCCTATCCATAAAATGCACCCTAATCAGGAAAGATATTTCTAACTGAGGTATCTTTTACCCAGGAAACCCAAGTTCCCTAAAAAACAGAAAAGCATGCTCTCTCTTAAAAGGTTAAAATAATAATAATAATACTTCCTTACATTTATATAGCGCTTTTCTGGACACTCCACTCAAAGCGCTTTACAGGTAATGGGGACTCTCTTCCACTACCACCACCAATGTGCAGCCCCACCTGGATGATGCGATGGAAGCCATAGTGCACCAGTACACTCACCACACACCAGCTATCAGTGTGGAGGAGAACAGAGTGATGAAGCCAGTTCATAGATGGGGATTAGGAGGAGGCCATGACTGGTAAAGGCCAATGGGAAATTTGGCCAGGACGCCGGGGTTACACCTTATATACACCTTATATCCAGGGCTATTTCTTGACATTTATGCAGAAGACAGTGTCCTATGTTTTTTCAATAAATTTAATGTTTTAATTATGTCAGCAATTTGTCTATTACTTTGACAAATCGAGAGAAATTCTGTAATTTGGTGTCTTTAGAATTCAAACAACTAAATACGCTGGCACTCACTCATAGAATGGTATTTAGACAGTTGCTGCTTTATGACATCAGAACATTGTATTCACTGCTAGTAGATGAGTTTACTGAAATTTCAATGCATTTGCACTTGTGGAAAGTATTTTAGTGGTAGTACTGAAAGAGATTAAGCAATTCATTCACCAATCTAGCAGAATCTACATGGCCGGGCGGAAGTGCAAATTTAATTAATTCAATTTGTGAAGGATAGCACAGCGGTCAAGTGGTTAGCATTACTGTATCACAGCACTGGAATCCTGGATTCCATGCCTAGGGTACTGTCTGTGTGGAGTTTGTATGTTATCCCCATATTTGAGTGGGTTCGCTCTCAGTGCTCTGGATTCCTCCCACAGGGACATACTGGCAGGTTAACTTCCTTCTGGGAAAACTGGCCCTTGTGAGAGTGTATGCATGTCCTTGTCTGTGTGTGCCATGTGGTGGACTGGTGTCCTGTCCAGAGTGTACCCTGCCTTGTACCAGTTGTTTGCTGGGATAGACTCTGGCTCCCCCATGACCTTGACATGGATGAAGTGTGCCATTTGAAAATGGATGGATGATTTGGTGAAGAGTGTGCTCAACAAAGTCTATTATAACCAGATGACTGACATGGGAGCTGGTTCTGACTCCCGTAAAGCGTGTTGTTAAAGACCCTATGCGTGACGGTATAATCCGGAAGAGTCTGGAGATGGACATCAGGGGAAGATACAGAAGGGTTAGGACGAGTTGACAGACAGGGGGCAGTGAGTGCAGTGATCCGGTGCAAGGGAGGAAAATCGGAAGCAACCAAGTTCAGGGAGGTCCAAAAGGGGATGTCACGGCAGAGTCCATATTCCATAAACCGGGAGATCCATCTGGGACAAAGACAGTTAAAATCCCCGGGAAGCAGAACCAAGACCAGGAACACAGAAAACTAAAACCTAAACGGGACCAGGCTCTCCAAGCCCCGAACTCAGTAGGTCAGGGCGCCGGGGTGAAGGCCTATGCCCTCAGGCTACTCCAGGCCTGGTGATAGGCGGGCCTTCGGACGTCCTTCATCCAATGCTGAGCCCGGAACAGTAGAGACGCTAGGCTTATAAAGCCAAAACACTCACAAGACACACTGGGAAATAATGGAACTGAACCAATAACAGAAATGGGTAGGAGTGTCCTCTAGAGGAGGAATGTGGAATGTAGCAATGACAAGGCCTGAGAGGAAAAGTTGTAGTGGGGCATGCCCAATAACAGCGAGTGGAAAATACATTATAGCAGTTGCAGGCTGGAATGTCTTTCCTTTACAACTGTGAAAATAGAGTGGATTTTTTTCCACACATAACAAGGGCTCCATCCATAACAATTCCCACAAGCCCCAAGTCAATGAATTCTGTGATGGCCAGTGCCATATCATATTCAATATCCAGCAGTAACTCAAACATGCCAAGGTAAACATTAAGAGGAATGGCAAACATCTTCTGTACGTGGTGGTTCAGAAGTCTTTCCCTTTTGAAATGAGATGAATCGGCGATATAGGAATAAGTGAAGGCTAATTCCATGCTAAAAAACAGAAAGAAATGGAAAAAAAAGGTTTTGGCCATTAAGCCTTCTTCAGGAGGGTAGAAAGAGATAGGGAAAGGAAATGTTTGTCCTGATACTGGTGAGGGTAGGGTTTTTCCCTGCAGATTCACAGGATATTATGTAACAAAATGGATGTCCAGAATCAGGGAGAAAAAGAAAATCACAGAATTCTTTACCGAACAAATGTATATTCCCAGAATATAAGAAATTAAGACAAGTAAGATTCACATACTTACCTAGTGTAACATCATTCCGATTCTGTACTCTATACTCTATTGCAAAAAATAGACATATTATATTAAGCTCCTTTACCATGACAAATAAATTATATAAAACATTTATCTATTGATCTTTACTACTATTGTTCTGTGTATTAACATGATCTTCACCTTTAGTCTACAATTAGCAATAACAAACTTTATTATAATGATTGCTCCATAGGAACAGAATGGGGCTAAAAATGAAAGTGGAAAAATATTTCTAGTTATTTACAAGTGTACTTTTATCATTTGCATTACTATATTTTGCAACGAATGCCCATCTTTCACAATTTCACAATTTTCTTTTTGCTGAGTACAACACTATTTTCTATCAATTCCTGGTTGGCTTCTATAGTATATACAGTGCCTTGCAAAAGTATTCATACCATTCCATTGGTATCCAATTTTGTTTAAAATACAAAATAATATATACATGTTATTTTAAATGTAATATTCTGTTCTAAAGTTGAATGCTCAAGTTAAAGGCTTCCAAGAGTAAGTCTCTACCAACTTTGGACACTGGCTTGATGTAATTTTTTTTTTGCTCTTTCTTTTTGGTAGATTTGTTCACGCTCTATCAATTTGTTTGAGGACGGCTTATGGACAGCAGTTTTCAACTTTTTGTAGATTCTGAACAGGATTCAAGTCGGGACTTTGACTGGACCACTGAAGAACATTTTTTCGTCTTCTTAAGTCACTGCAGTGTGGCTCTGGGCATGTGGTTTTGATAGTTGCCCTGCCCCAATTTAAGTCTTTAGCAGACTGAAGTAGACTTTCTTCTAAGATTTGCCTGTACATCGTCCCATCCATTCCCCCCTCAAATCTTGACAAGCTTCCCTGTCCTCGCTGACGAAAAGCATCACCATAACATGACTTTGTCACCACCACGCTTGACACTGGGAATGGTATTAACGGGTGCATACAGAATAGCTGTAATGTTACACTTGTGAACATCTCTCCCTAGTTTCTTCCTTATCTGTGTGGTATGATGCCCCTCCTGTTTAATGTTGGTTCAGTTTTTCCTCCACCCTTCTCCTGATCTAAAAGGTTTCCTTCCTTGCTTTGAAAGCTCATGAGTGTTCTTACATGAAAATCAATCCCACAAGGACAGGCGTTGTATTCTGAAATTACCATAACCACCATTACTGTCAGAGATACCACTGAAATAATTACGAGGGTTGTCAAAGTGATTTTGTACACAAAAGATCATTTATGTGTGCCACAGCAAGGGGACTGGATACTTAGGCAATCGTGACTTTTTACATTTTTTCGTGTTATCGGTTTTCTTTTTATTTGTTGCCTTGAATTTGGTGGAGCAGGTTGTGTATATAACAGTTATTGATTGCTACTTCAAATTGTGAGCAAGCTTTAAAGCAAACAAAACACAAAAGCGTTTTGGACATCAATATTTATCGGAATATTTAAGGTTTTACTGAAATACATTAAAATTAAAGCAATAATTTCTATGTCTATCATCGTGCCTTCACGAAATGAAATTCACATAAGCCCACGTACAGTATTTACATGCCGCTACTACTTAGGAGAGAGCCAGCGCTCGCCTTTCTGCATCTGAAAGTCCCACCCCTCCTTGAGCGGAAATGCTGAAGAAAAAGGCACGGAGTTAGATGGACCAGTGGACCAATCGGAGAATTAGTTGCCTCTTGATTGACGGCTGAAACAAAGGCTGTGGCTCAAGTCTCGCCCAAATCTCCGCTCTCACGAGATCGAAGAGCTTTGATAAAAGCCGGGCTTTTCAGAAACGAAAACAACATCTTTGAAGAATGAAAAGTACTTAAATCATGTGAAACGGGCGACGGTGTCCTCAGCATGACATCTCACAGGCGGAAACGTTCGAGTATAGACGATGACGAATTTGAACAACTGTATGTACTTTTGATTCCTTTGTAGTTTTTTTTATTAAACAAGCGGTTTTTTATGAAACCCACAGTAGCCAGTAAAGTAAGGCGCTACGCATAAAAAAACGGTTTAAAATTGAAATTCCAGATATGGTACGACTGCGCTAAAACAATGCGATTTCGACGCAGAGTCTATTCGCCTTGTGCATCTTTGCAACAATTCCAAGTTAGGAGTTTGTCCTATGAACGTCATACGATTTGCTGTATTTTGTAGGAGTCTCTTATCCAGCCAGTGACAATTTACAATAGGCTAGCTTTGTAGCTTTTTTTTTTCTATAGCAAATCGGTAAACCCTGTGATCCATGACGGCACTGAATCCGTGTCCGAAACGGGTGTCTTCAGGTCTGGTCAGGGTTGAGAGCTCAGTTCTGCACACTATTCCCAGGCTACGGCGTGACGGAATAGTTCAGTGAATTCCGTCGTGCTTTTGATCTATTCTGTTTGAAAAAAAAATAGACATTTGTGTCTAATATGGGGAAAGAATTTGAAAAGTGGTAATTTTGTGAGGATATGACGTTTACTGTACAATGTTGGCATTGTCTTTATCTTTTAGGGTTCGTGTGCCCTTTGCTCTGATAATGAAAGATAAAATCATAAACTCGAGACACTTGCAAAAACTGCATACAATCTACATCAGGAATGAAGTGTGTATAATGCTGTGTGAATTATAAATTATAAGCAGTTGATCATTCTGAGTTTTGAAGGACACAATTAGTAACCACCAGGTATATGATATGGGTGAAAGTAGTAAATGTTTGTGTGGATTTCCTAGATGTCCACCGTTTTGTGATTTATTAACATGGGGCTGCTCTAAGGCAAACGTAGTCCATAGTTAGGTGGGTGTCATTTTGCATAGCTGTCTTGGCACATTTAGAGCTACTGGGATCTTCTGTTTCGTAAGATATTGTGAGTTTGATTTTGTTCCAGCAGGTATCAATCCATCTGTCAAAGTCAGACTGAAGACCACATCCCCACGCATCTCCTGACAAAGCAATCCAGTCCTTTAAACGCAGGCAAGAAGCAGATCTTGGAGAAGGGTTATCCCTCTGGGCAGTCACTCAAAGCCACTCGCACGCTCCTGTGTAGTGACCGGTCGCCTGTGTGTTTGCAGAGGCCACAGTGGCAGGGTGGTGCCTCCTTGTGTTCCAGCAACAAGGAGGTAGAGGTGCCGAACGTCAACGAAACGCTGGCCAATAAGCGCCTGACCCCCCGTCCGCCGGACTGCGCAACCGACGCAGACGCCCTTCGCTTGCCAGATGGCCCGTTCCGTCCGACGAGAGACGGGGAGGCTGCCCGCAGCCCGTCGGAGGCCGAGGGCGAGCCTTCGCACGACGAAGTGAGCATCCTGGAGGACGACGACTTCGGGTTCCGGGCCGACGTGGTGCGCCTCCCGGAAGCGGGGGGGGAAAGCGAGGGCCACGACACCGCCGCCGCCGCCGAGGACGGCTTGTCGTGGGCGTCCGGAGAGGAGTATGATGCCGCGAGACTCTGTGACGCCTGCGTGGCGCTCTTCCAGAAAATGCACTCCGCCAAGAAGACGAAGATGAAGAAGAAGAAGAAGAAGATTGACTATAGTAAGTTACATTTTGCTGCAGGGGAAGAGGCATGGTGACGAGAGTGCTCTGCTTTGCAAAGCAGTTATGATTGCAGTGAAGCGAGGTTCACATTGTAGCGATCTCGGGTTCACATGGGTTTGCGCCCTCGCCTCTGCCGCCTCAAGTCGGCCCCCCACTGTCAGGGACTCGAACCCGGGCCTCCGGCGTCACTCAACAGGGACCCAGCCAGTTGAGCTAAAGGGAAATCTCCCATCAGCCCGAAGACTGCGGTCCCTGCTATTCACAGGGAAGGGCGGTGATGTCACCGTGCTGGTAAGCCGGCTCTCACAACCTGCAATGGTGGCCGTATGCGTTATAGTATGTTCCACCCACGTTCTCTGGAATTTGTTTTACCACTACATCCAAGATAATTCGTACTTTTTACGGTACAAAAATAACTTCCTGTCAAGTACACTTCCCCCGCGTCAGGGGAAGGAATGTCTTGGATTAAATAGGCTTGATAACTTTGCAGTAGCATCATGGAGAACATCGGAGCAGACTGCAATTATTCTGTAACTGGTCACCTGGTTTTGTCATCATGCAGGGCATTGGCGCAGATGGTTCACTCATCATATTTGGATATTTTACTTTTTATTTTGAGAGTTGGCAGGGCTCTGGTTCTGGTGGAAGTTTCCTTGCAGTGAGGTGACAGTGAGGCACTCTTGTTGTGAAGTGGCCCCGCTGTCTGTAAAATCTGTTGGGTTTTATTTGATCATCCTGAAGGAGGCATCACTGGATAAGCTATATTTAAGGTCAGGAAGTCTTTGATAAGGCTTTTATATATTTATTTTTTTTGTCGTCATTTTGCAACTTTTATGGCCCCACATGTTTTGATCAGAGTAAACATGAAGACAGCCACTTCTGAGACTTTTATGCTAGATGGGGGTAGGGGAGGATAAATGAACTGTCAAAACCAAATCTACTGTAATATTCGCCTGAGAAAGTTGCTGGATTGTTAGATCAAGGGATTATCTTCAGTACAATTCACTGCCACTAGCTTTCAAAGTGAAACCATAATCCTATATTCATGTCTGGACAAGCTGGTACAGGACAAAAACTGATGCAACAAGGTTATGATCAGATTTCCTGTGTGGACCTTTGACATGAGAGATTAACAGCATATTAATGACATGGGATGCAAGGCAATCCCAAATTATCTTTAAAATACTATCTGAATATTCACTACTGCGCTTCTGCATGTCTCTCTTTTGATGCAACATTTCTTTTTTTTTAAAAAAACAACCTGTAGATCCCATGTCTTTGTCATGTGACCAGTGGATCCTGAAGAAAAGAAGGGTTTGTAGAACCAAACAAAGCAGCAGAGGGTAAGTGTTCTTACTGCAAATATGGACTTGATATTCGTCCCCTAATCAACAGCATTATTTGAATAGGAGTAGAATTCAGGGATGACATTGTTTTTGCTGTCTCAGACAAAAACGCTGAAAAGATGCACATCAGTGACTACACAAATAAAAGTACTAGCTCACAGTTCTGGTGTTATAATCCAGACTATGCAAATGACACTTGAAGAAGGCTCCATGGCCGAAACGTTGTGCTCTCTTCTTTTTTTCAGCATGGAATAAACCTATTACCTGTTCCTTTGCAGCCTACGCATGCTGACGCAGCTACCCACCTGAACTACTATGCAAATTCTTTTCTGCTCTATCATTAAATGACTGTCAGTGGGATTTTCCAAATGAAATGGCGCATGCTTGGCCACATACAGGCATGTCTGAACGGGTGTGAATTGGCTAGTCTCTCCCTGATTTACTCTGTACCACCAATGAAGCAAAGTGGGGGGGAGTGCAGGTTCCTGACACCTGAGAGCCTACAGTGTTTCAATGAAAGAAACTGCTACTCCTGCTGACTCTTCTATAAGCACCCAAGTGTCGAATTCGGGTCCAGTGGGAGTGTTTGAATAGGTTCTAGTTCTTGGTTATGCTTGGTACTGGGGTACAAGTGATGAAATAAGCTGTTAAATTCCTGGCGATTAAAAACCGGGTCTATGTAAAAACAGAACTGTGGCGATAGTGTAAAATGATTTGAGTATATTTTTTTGGTTGAGGTACTCTTAGCTAATTCAAAGATAGCTGCCCTCGTAAAGTTCTTTGCAGTTTCTCTCGTGCTTTCTCTTCTGTGTTTTTGAAGTTGCTTTCACCTGAGTGCTGAAATTTTAGAAAGTTTCCCTTTAGGGATTCTGGGGGATGTTAGGCACCAAATGAAACGGAAGATGGGGGTTTTGTAGCTGGCATGTGCTGATATGAAATACCATCAGTACTGTGAAGGTGGGATATGCTGTGGCTCTCTTCTAGCCTGTTGACTCCACCCTCCTTGCATCCATCCATTTCTAATTGAATTATTGAATACAAGGGTTGCAAGGGAACTTGGGCCTATCCCGCCCGGCAAAGGACAGGTTCAAGATAGGATACACCCTGGATGGGTCGCTAGTCCATTGCAGGACACAAACGTTCTGGGGAAATTGCACCCAGGTCAGTTTCCCAGTATGTCTCTGGACTGTGGGAGAAAACTGGAGCAGCCAGAGAAAATCCATGTAGACACGCAGACTGCATACAGACAGCACCCCAGGAATTGAAATCGGTGCCCCAGTGCTGCCACGCAGCAATGCTAACCACTGTGCTACTTTAGTGCCCCCCACCCTTCTTCAGAAGCTATATTATAGTGTTTATGGTATTTTTACTTTTTTTTTTCCAGTGTGGTACTTTTGAGTGAGAGCCTTTTCCTGCATAGTACTTAAGTCTGTTTTCTATAATTACCGCCTTTGACTGCCAAGAAGGACAAAAAATTCAGATTGAAATGTTAGCCATTTCTAATGATATGTGGAAACTCTACTCACTCAGACGCGTTAGTCTAAAATAACATTGCGCACTCAGTATAAACGTTATGCTGAGGGTAAATACAAACCAGCCAGATTGCCAGCCCATGACCAGTATTGACAGCTAACTTTCACACCTCATTCAGATTGGGCTGTCGGGCACTTCCTTATACTCTATTGTGTGACTCGCACTTTACAGTTTCATTGTAATGAGATAACACTTGGGAAAGGAAGACAAAATATCCTTCTTTTCAAATAACTATAGTGTTTTTAAAAAAAGATTGTAAAGATTACAAATGAAGTGAGGCCTCGTAGCCTGTTTGGTAGCTAGTAGTTAACTTTTCCAAGGATCTCAATCATCCATTTCTTTATAAAAGCTAGGGACATAATTAGGCAGCTTGTTTCATACTCCCACAATTCTTTGGGTAAATAACCAAGAACAGGAGGTACTGCACGCCTGTGTAGTTTCCACTTGTCCTTTGGTTAAGGTTTCACTGTACATTCTGAAAGGTATGTTGTCAGAAATCAAGCAGATGTTATTTAGCACAATTGTAACTGTTCATTTTCTTGTGTGTCATTTTTGACTTGTCATACCCTGGCGACAGGAACCATTTTTTTGTCTTGACTTGGCACTTTTGGTCTCATTCTTCCATGGGTTTGTTTTTCGCAGTTTCAAAGTAGGAATATACTTACAGAATATTGTTGCAAAAATGATGAATATCGGAACGTGACCAAGTGGTTTAGTCAATGGGTAAATATTCATAACCCCCAAGTGATTTAGCTGAGCAGTTGGTATAATTTAAAGACATGTAAAATCTTTCTCTGGTACAGTCTTGGTGAAAAGAGTAATAATTTAGGCACACTTGGTTAAACAAATATTAACAGTCACAATACAAACACCACACTGCACACAACACACAGGTTACGATACTTACAGCATGTACAGACAAGGTGTTTCATAGGGCTAATCAGGCGCTCTCCCATGTGTTTGACTGTTAAATAATGCCTTAAGTGGTCAAAAAGCTATAACACCCTGCAACTCAAAACTCACAGCTTGCTGAAGCTCAGCAGGTGTGAGCCTGGCTAGTACCTGTATGGGAGACCTCCTGGGAAAGCTAAGATTGCTGCTGGAAGAGGTTTTATTGGGGCCAGTAGAGGGCGCTCAACACGCGGTCTTTGTGGGTCCTAATACCCCAGTATAGTGACGGGGACACTATACTGGGGCATTAGAAAGGCGCTGTCTTTTGATGAGATGTAAAACTGACATCCTGACTCTCAGTGGTCATGAAAAATCCCAGGGTGTTTCTCAAATTCCCCCCCGGCCTTTAGCACTCATGGCCTCCTAATAATCCCCATCTCTGAATTGGCTTCATCACTCTGTTCTCCTCCCCAATGATAGCTGGTGTATGGTGAGAGTACTGGTGCACTATGGCTGCCGTCACATCATCCAGGTGGGGCTGAACATTGGTGCTGGTGAAAGGGAGTCCCCATTACCTGTAAAGCGCTTTACATTGCTGTATGTACTATACATTTGTATCTTGTTTTAGTTATAAATGAAGTGGGTCCTGACTGACAGTGGGTGATTCTTACGGCATCTCAGTGGCAACATTTTTAGAATTGTCTCACTATGTAATTAGATGAAAGTACTGCAAATATATTTTTGTCACTTTTATTGGCATTGTAATCTAGCCTTTTCTTATTACTTTCAGAAAACTGTGGATTGCCATTAAAACTATTACAATGAATGCTAAGAACTGCGCATGTGAACCAGGAAAAACACCCAGTGCATGTTCCAGGCTTCATGTATTTTTACAAAGGTAGGTAAAAACCATAAAACATTTCAAATGCAAAACCTTAATGGCATATGTATGGTCTTTGAGTAGTTTAAAAAACTGAGTGAGAAGACTTACAGATGCCTAAATGGTGACTCCTAGGTTCCATTTCCAGTTGTTACAGTAATCGTAACTTATTTGGAAAAAATGGATAGGATTTGCCTTTCTATGTTAGAGTAAATGTTGTCTATCTTCATTAGTTGTATATGGCATGCATGAAATTCACTCCTCACATCAGTCACAAGATCCCATCGAACAAATATGCAGTGTCCTTCAACTAAGGTATTAAATATGGGATCCTTGTTATTGAGCATGAATGATTAACAAGCCTTTTGCACAGCTAATGCATTAGCGTGTAAGCCTACATGACATGAGCTTAATGTCCTCCATTTTCAGTACCTACTTTAGAGGGTCACAGAAAAACAGGGAAGCCTAACCCAAGGGGCACAGAGTTTAAGAAAGGACTACTCTAAATGGGACGTTTGTCCTTTGCAGGTAGAAAACATGTTTATGGGGGCAATTTAGAGATGCTAATTATTTGTGACTGCATGACTTGGGATGGTGGGAGAAAATCAAGAAAGCCACAGCTGTGAGTTCCATATATAAGCCATTTTCAAACCCAGGACCTTGCAGTGTTACCCACCGAACCACGTTGCTGCCTATTTAACAATATTTTTATTTGGTACCACTAATTTTGTTTTATACACCCAAAGGTTGTAGAATCCTACATTATGAATCTGTATAGCTTTTTCACCTCAGTCCTTCAAGCAGCATGTTAGTGATAGTACAGAGTGCTGGTCAACTACTCAGAGGTCTAAATACTGTTGTAGCTATAGCCAAATGCACAAATAAGATGTTTGTCAGAAACTACAGTTGTCCAATTAGAAGTGCTTACTTAGTACATTGTGCTACTGCACAGAGATTGAGTGTGCTGATTTTTTTTTTTACACTGCTGTCTGGGAAAAGAGGTGTCAAGTAGACACTTCTAGATGGATAACACTTTTTAAGAGTCTGGTTGATGCACCATTAACTGCTGCTGCAGTGAGTCAAAGTGAAACATTAAGAAGGGTTACATTTGTGTGAAAAAATGACAAAATGACATAATTCAGGTTCAAACAAAGGATTTCAGAATTGCAAGACCCAGCCTGCGCGCTCCGCATTCAGTTCAATCTGGAGCCCAAATCCTTTTCTCCTCATTTAGACCCTTTTCTTTATTTCAGGAACTTATTAAAGTGCAAAAGTAAAGAGGCTCCTGTCCAGAACAGACATGGCAAAAAGAGGAGAGCTGAAGATTCAACCTTCAAACCACAAAAGAAAAATGGAAAGATGACCAAAACAGGCACAGGCAAAAAGAAAATGACGAAAAATGTTCTGGAAGGGAGCAGAATTATTTATAACGAGAGCACTCGGAAAGATAGGCCCTTTGTCCTGCAGAATAGCAATGAAGACCAAGACCCTAATTTTGATACCTTACTCGAAAAGACTGTTAGCCCAGGAGCCAGTGTGAAGACTGAACATAGCTGGACTAAGAGGCAGGACTGTTTCAGTGAAACACTGGGAAATAAGTCATGTAAGGTCAGTGGAAACAGTAGCATTCTTGACTTCCCTGACCCTTCGCGTCACTTCTCCTGGTTGCAGAAAGGTGGCTTTAAGTCAATGTTGGCCAAAATGGAAAACAGGCAGTCCACAGTGGTCAAAGAAAGTGATTCTTCTGCATCAGAAGGCATTTTTTAAGAACATGTTTGTAAACCATTTGTATTGAGAGGTAATGGTGGCTTTACGTCGTATATACATGTGTTATGTTTATTGTGCACGCACACTATATATGCAATATAGTAACTTGAGGCAGAACAAAATAATTCTAGGGCTCATCCTAACCTGTCTTGAGATACATGAATGAATTTTATAAGAATACTTTAGGCAATGTAAAGAAGTTCAGCTTATTGATCCGTTTAAAAACAAAGGGAACATTTTGTGTGAAATGCTCTTCTATTTTGGATTACCTAGAATTCAGGGGCTTCATTTATTTTTCCCGATTTAACATTTTATTTTGAGCAGAAGTGTTAAGTTTTCCTTTCTAACCAAAAATACTTTTGATTAATGCATTCTGAAGTTAAAATAAAAAATGGCAGGCTTCTAAAACCAGAGTTTGATGTATTTATACTGATACTTTTATGTTTAATTAAACTGCTCAT